GCTGTGTAGATGAAGCTCTTCTGACCAGCATGATCTCTGGGTGCTGGAAGGTCTGCCTTAAAGGATTTTAGTTGTCACATCAAAGGACCGTGGTATTCTTAATTGTGTTATATTTTGAAGCTTTCTCTTCATAAACATGTACCCAAAAAACCTTGGTGATTTCAGATTATTTCCTAATCACAAGAAAAGCTTAGCGTTTATCTTCAAGGTTACCCTTTGGGAGGTTAGTTGTACAAGACCAAAAACAACAAACAAACAAAAACCCACAATTGAGAAATTGAGTGCTAATAGGCTTTACAGGAAATTCCTGTAAAGGAAATAGGCTTACTCAGTTTTCAACCGAGCCTAACCACAAACCTCATCTAGTCGAGGGTGTCAAAGAGTCTTAGCTGCTTCATCTTCAGGGCATTTCCTTCGACTGATAGAGGGAGTTATTTGATTTTCCTCTATGTGACCATGGATTTGACAATGTCAGTGGTCCCTCACAAGATAATAAAGATTGTCTTCTTTCTCCAGGTGTATTTCCAAACTTGTAAGAGTTAACTGTTGTTGCATCTTCTCCATTACCTGTCTGAGTAGGAAGAGAAACAGGAGAATTCTTTGAAGATGGGTATTCTCATATGTTCTTCAGAAAGAACAGCCGGCAGTCATTGAAGTGACGTGAAGTTCCTTCCTCTTTTTTGTCTTCAGAACAGGAAATAAAGGTAAGGCAATAGTACATTTTTTCACTAGATTTCCTAACCAGAAAATGTAAGCTGCGAAAAGAGCTTAAATAAGTTTCAAAATGAATTGCTAACACATAAAATGTTTAGCAATTCCTTCTCATAAAACGTTTTGTAATAATATGTGTGCTAGCTAACTGGCAAAATTTATATCTCTACATGTCTGGAGTCTTCAGTTTATAAAAACTGGTGATTCTAACTAACATAAATCTATTCATAGGGCTTTGAGCATTTTGTGGATAAAGACTCAAGATGTTTGTCCAATTTGACACCTGACATCTCCAGCATTTTCTTCTCTTTTGTTTTTTCCCACCCAAAGCTCTGGTCAGTGAAATTCTTAATTCATTATCAACCAAATATCATTGAAGTTGTAGCCTTGACCCACTGAGGGAAGTGATCCTCAACCTTTGACAGAAGACATGCAGCTCATATAGAACCAGGACAATGCTTTGAGGAAGAGACTCTGCGGACATGTGAGTCACCCTGACGGGCTCTCATCTCTTTCTGTGAGGCCACAGCATATGGTAACGGGACAGTGTCTCTGAGACTCTACATTTGTACGTAAATTCCCCTTATTATACCCATTAATAGTGGGGACCACTATTTCATGGTAAATTTTGTCTGTCACTAAAACAGAAGGACAGTAGCTCTCGCCCAAAGAGTACACGAGAAAGCCTGGGTCACTGAGACAAAGGAATGTCACCTGAGTAACAGGAGCTTGACTGGCAGGCAGGCGCAGTGGGGGTGGGGGGGATGTCATCATGCAGGTGGCCAGGGAGGGTCTCTCTGAGGAAGTCCAGGTCAGATATGAGAGCCAAATGAGGTCATGCAGGGCTTCACAGGGGTGCTGGGACTGGATTCTTCACCTCACAGGCAGAGGGCCGGTGAAGTCAGCATGGAAGTGACACCCTCACGCTTGCTTTTAGAAAAATGCCGCCAGAGGCTGGGGATGGGTAGACTATTTGTTCAGGGCTTTGTGGGCACAATAAAGGAAGATGAGGGGGCAGGCCATGTCTTGAAAGGCAGCTGCTTTAGCCTGCCTTCCTTGACCACAGTCCTTATGAGAAAGAGCAGCCCACGGGGACAGAGAGCACAGTGACTCCAGCCCTGCCCAGCCCTCTCCTGCCCTCCACCCTCAGGAAGCTCCTGGGAGCTGAGCGCTCCCCTCTTTCAGCATCTCACAGCAGGGCTCTGGGCTGGATAGACCTGCCCGCCTCCTGTCCCAGCCCACGTCTCTGTGATTTCCAGGCTGTCTCACTTCCTGCCCCCTCAGAAATCGGTCCATGAATCTCACTCTCACTGCTGTTTCACTGGCTATCTGCCTGCTCCTCCCCACACAGGAGACTCCTGTCACAACTCTCCTTTCACCAGCAGAGAGCAGACCCGCCCTCTCCCCCCACCCCCCCCCCACAGTGTGGCCTGTGGGAGGCGTGGTGCGTCCCCACTCCCCACATTGTCCCCTGCTCCCTCCTCACAGCACAGCTCTCATCACCTCCCCTCCCTGTGCACTCATCGGACCCGATGGTGGCCAAACATAGTGGACACTTGCAGTCTTTTTGTGTCTGATTCCTCTATAGCTGCTGCCATTGGCATCTAGTCTTCCCTTCAAGTTCTCCCTGCGCTCAGTGTCAGGGTGGTCCCTGTGCTCTGTTCTTTATTTTCTTCCTTTTGGGGTATATTCTGTTTAACTTTTCTTGGCCCTGACCCACCCTGCTGGGCGGGCCAGTGCTCCTCGGGGAAGCCCATCTCTTCTCCCTGGCAGCTTCCAGACTTCTCTGGCTTGAGCCCCTTTCCCCCGTGCTGCTGCCGCAGACTCCTCTGCTCTGACCGGATCCCCAAAGACACCTCAAGCTCATTGTAACATTTTATTGATAACTAATTTATAAATATTAAAGTTATCCCTCCTCCTGCATCTCAAGATGTTGGAGACATGGTGTGTGTGTGTGTGTGTGTGTGTGTGTGTGTGTGTGTTGAAAACTGGTTGAAAAGGAAGAATTTTATAAGATGAGGAAAGGCAAGTGTTTCTTTATGAAAAAGGTGGAGACTCCTGGAAAGAAAGCTCCTGGGAAAGTCGTGGGTGGAGGGAGTGGTTGCAGGAAGGACCAGTGAGTGCAGGGAAGCGTGAGCAGAAGACCTGCATGGCTGGTTAGATGTGGATACAGAGAGAGACTGATGCTGCGAGCTTCCTAAAAATCAAAGATGCTCGGGGAGATTTTTTAAGGGAACTTTCAGTGTGGCCATACGGTATTTAGTATAGCTTATCCCCCACTTCCTTCCTTTACTTCCCCCTTTATTTTTCCTTTCCTGTCATCACTTTGATATCCCCACCCTGTTTCTAAGTCCTTAACCTGTCTTCAGAAAGAATCCTGTTAGGGCAGTTTAATCAGAATCCCCAGCCTTTCATCTCTCCTCTTGGTAAGTTTCTATTCCCTGATGGCCTTGCCCTGCTCCTGGGCTGGAAACCCTCACCTGTCCTTGTTGTGCTCTGAGTTGAGTTAATCTCTCCCCAGGCCCTCATCCACTGCACTAGCCTTGGCCGCTATCTCCACTGCACTAGCCTTGGCCGCTCTCTCCACTGCACTAGCCTTGGCCGCTCTCTCCACTGCACTAGCCTTGGCCGCTCTCTCCACTGCACTAGCCTTGGCCGCTCTCTCCACTGCACTAGTCTTGGCCGCTCTCTCCACTGCACTAGTCTTGGCCACTCTCTCCACTGCACTAGTCTTGGCCACTCTTTCCACTGCACTAGCCTTGGCCGCTCTCTCCATTGCACTAGTCTTGGCCACTCTCTCCACTGCACTAGTCTTGGCCACTCTTTCCACTGCACTAGCCTTGGCCGCTCTCTCCACTGCACTAGCCTTGGCCGCTCTCTCCATTGCACTAGTCTTGGCCACTCTCTCCACTGCACTAGTCTTGGCCACTCTCTCCACTGCACTAGCCTTGGCCGCTCTCTCCATTGCACTAGTATTGAACAGTCTTCCTTGCTGTTCTAATCAGTGTCGAATCATTTTTTCTTTAATATTGTTCTCCCGCTGCCAGGCCCTTGAGGACAGGGCTGTACATTGTCATTCGTCCCCTCCCGGATTTCCTGAAACAGGTGGACGTGTTCTCAGAGAAAGGATAGCTGAGTCCGGGGTTACAGTGCCTTATGTCTGTAACCCCAAGAATAATGCACAGCTTATTTCTATGTTCATGACAACAGTCAGAACTCTCAGAGGCACAGGAAACTGTTCTATAGGAAAATTACTTTTATTTTCCCACTCATAAAATTAAATAATAATCAAATATTGCCCACTGCTATGACCTGAATGTCTGTGTTCCCCCCAACCTCCTAATTTATATGTCGAAATCCTAACCCTCAAAGATAATGCCCTAGTGATGGTACTAGAGGTGGGGCCTTAGGGGGTGTTTAGATAATAAGGATAGAGCCTTCGTGAATGGTATCTGCTTTCTTGTAATAGAGACCCCAGAGAGATCTCCGGAGCCTTCCGCCAAGCGCGGTAACGGCAAGAAGGCCAGGCGGAGAGGCCTTCACCAGAGCCAGGCACGCTGGCGCCGAGATGCGGGCCCCAGGCTCCAGGACTGCGAGGAGGGCGTTCCTGCTTCACAACCATCCTGTGGCGGCCTGGATGGATAGGGCCCTCCCAGTGCCCTGACCTCTCATCTCTTGTAGGTGATTTGAAAATTCCAATGACCACGCTACCAGCACGGGGACAAGCGGCTGGGAGCACAGCCCCGGCTCCTGCACTCTCTGCGGTGACCCGCCCTCGTTTTCTGTTCAGAGGGTTGGTAGCAATGCCGTCCAGCAGCAGCGTTTTCCTCTTACTTGCGACACAGAAAGCCCAGCATCCTGCATGCGCTACAGTTCCCACACACTAGCAATGTGCACACAGCGCGGACTTCACACTCCACCAGCTCCCCTCAGTGTGGGGAGTCTAACATTTTCACTCAACGTGTCATTTTCTTTTCAGGAAAATTTTCATTTAATTCTTTCCAAATTACTCATGGAAATGGGCGCACTAGCTGAGAACGGGGGGAGAGAACCCTGTGAGGAAATGGGGTCAGAAGAGCGCACTGCCTGTGCCAGGCCCGGGTGCTGTGAGCTCGCCATGCGCTCCCCGCCTCAGGCGTGAGTGGCACGCAGCCGGCACACCCCACCGAATGCCATGCACACGCGGACATGTGACCGCTTGCTAGGAAGGACCTGCCCTTTCGAAGCTTCCTGTGTGACTTGCATTTTGATGACAGTTTCAATTTCTTATCTCCCACTTATGTCAGCGATGAAGAGGCTTTGCGGGGTGGACTCTGAGTCCCAGCGCAGCCCCGCGCCACGGAGTGCTTCCTGAGGGACCGGCCCCTGGGCGGACGATGCTCTGTTTGGGGTGGATCTTCCTTTGGTTTGTCACAGGAGAGAGGATCAAAGGGTTTAACATCTCAGGTAGGGTTCACTTTTCAAGTCAACACTGAATCTTATGGTCAAAGCTTAAAGTGACAGATAATTTGATATATCAGTAGCATGACACACTATCACAGAACACATTCTTCCTACTAGTAAGAGGTTGTAGAAGGAGAAATTATTGGGGTGAACAGCTTTCAGCTGATGCCAAGCATTGATGGGGGACCCAGTTACTCAGGTGGGTGTTGGGTGGGAGCAGGAATACACTGGCTTGGCTGTCTAACTGCTCAAAATACAATTACATAATAATCAAATATTACCCACTGCTAAGCTGAAGTGGCTGGGGTGCCCTGGGCGGGGGGGGGGGGGGGCGCGTTAGCATGTAAACTTCCTTTTCCCACAAAACAGGGACAGTGAAGTGGAAAATAACAACTATTCTTTGTAAATGTAAGTCAGTTTCATCCTTGAATGCGTTTCTGTGTTGCTTGTCTATTGTGGTTTCTAGGTTGCTCCATCAAAAACTTCCTTTGGATGTACTCTGCGGAGAGTGCCGAGGAGTTTGTCTTATTTTGTGACTTAGCAGAGCCACAGAAACCCCGTTCCTACCACAGACACCCGCTCTCACCCGCCCAGGGCCCTGCGCGCCGGCCCTGCCGTGGCCGTGAGGGCCTGTCTGATGCCCAGTGGTACCTTCAGCCTCGGGAAGGAGGCGCCTTAAAGGAAATTACCAGCAACCAGTCCCACCTGCTCCTGGACAAGACGGCCCTGCGCTTTCTGACCGCGGAGAGGAGCCATGCTGGCTCCTATATCTGTAGGCCCCGGATGAGGTGTGTCCCACACGCATTCTTATCTGAAATATCCCCAAGCCCGCTAGTACTGGGTCAAACCTGTGTTCACGGGGCCGCGCTGACTCTCCTGACTCTCCCAGGAGCCGCAGGGACGAGGCGTGCTGTGTGAAGATGGTCCTGGAAGTGCAGCCCCAGGCCGACCTCTCCTGTGCGCACCCCGTGCCGCGGACGCGCTACCTCCGTCTGGGCAGCACCGACTCCATTCACTGCCCCAGCCTTGGCTGCCAGGGTGGCGCCCGGAGTCCAGAGATGACCTGGTACCAGGTAAGAGTGACTTTTCCAAAACTCATGCAAGATGTGGTTTCTAATGGCAGCAACTCTGTCAGTCTGTAGAATCGTGGGTTTGAGGATCTCAGGTCCAGAGCTTCCCAAAGGCTGGCCTTGTGCCCACAGAAAAGACCAACTTTCTAACATGGTCTTGGCCGGGAGCCACAGGATGGCCGCTCCAGCCATTCCAGCCACCCTTTCGATTGCGCCAGGAAATTGTCTCAAAGTCAGGTACAGTGGGGCCTTGACTTATGAGTGTCCCGACTAACGAGTTTTTCGAGATACGAGCCGTCTCTCGGCCGATTTTTTGCTTTGAGTTGCGAGCTAAAATTCGGGTTACGAGTCAGCTTCAGATACCCCACCGCTAGTTGGTGCAGCGAACGTCACAGTGAACGCCACATCAGCCCAGCATCACGTGTCTCACTCGTTCACTTTTTTATTTGACATACGAGTAATTTGAGTTACGAGCTCCATCACGGAACGAATTAAACTCGTAAGTCAAGGCCCCACTGTATATCCATGTGAAGTAAGACATGGTTACAGCATCGGCCAAGGCAGCCGCCAGAGCGGTCGGCGGGACGCCTTCAGAAAGCAGTGAGAACTGCTCAGGGAGGGAGCACCCAGCAAGTGAGAAGGGCTCTGGGCGAATCGGAGCATAGAACACTTTCCTGAGTGGGCACTTCTGCGTGGCCCTGAGTGACAGGTGAGACCGGGCGACGGGAGTGCAGTGCTAAGAGGAGAAGAAAACGGCCAGGAAAGGTAAGTTCTGTAATGGTTTTGAGTTACAAACCACATAGCAAAACACCTGGCATTTTCCTTGTGCTCATGGGTTACCGAGTGCCACAATCTATGCCAATGCTCTGAGCATCACCTCCAAAGCCCTCTGCCAGTTGGCCCCTGGACGGCAGAATCAGGGAATAGAATTTAAATGCCACTACACTGATGATAATTGTTTAAAGTCCAGTACTTTGTCTGAAAAATCGTGTAAAACTTTAAATTTGACTTCAAAATATGTTCGTTTGTTAATATAAAACATCATTTTAACTTGCCACTGATTGATGCCCAGCAGGCAGCCTGCTTGCTGGGTGGTCCCGTGCACTTCCAGACCCCACAGCAGAGGCGTGGGGGGTGCTGCTGGGGGGAGAGCGCTTTCCACTCGCTTCTCCTGAGCCTTGGGGACAGCAGGTGGCCAGGTGCTTTATGTCCTTTGTAGAAATAACTACTCGGGGATGATGAGTGATGTGTCTAAAGTTTCACATTTGTATTTTAAAGTGACACTGAAAGCGTGCTGGCTTCAAAAATGCCCAGTTTTGGGCACATTCATTTCACAGCCTCTAAGATGAGGTTAGTAAGGAGTCCATGGTTCTGTTCATCCTCTTCAGCTCTCTTAAGAACGACACTCCCCTGGCTGATGAGTGTGGTAATCGGATGGCGGAGGTCTTGCTCTGCCCAGGGGGCTGCTCCCAGCCCCGTGGAGAGGCTTGCCCGGCCTTTCAGGTGGAAGAGCACACCCGGAAATGAAAGGCCGTTTTCACTTGTAGGTAAGCACGAGCCAGAGCGGCAGCCGACTTTCCGCACACATCGCTCTCTCAGCGAAACCCCAGGGCCGCCTGGCATTTGCTAAGGAAGCTCATTCCCTTCTCCGGGCTCTGGCTGCCTGTGTCAGAGGTGTCAGTGGAAGAAGCATCTGTTCTAAACGCAGTTAAATGATGCTGCTCTAGTCATAGCTTCTGATGCGGCTTTGGAGAGGCATGGTTTAGGCGATGTTTATGCATTACGTGTGTGTGTGTGTAGGTGTGTGCATGTGCGTGTGCAGTGCATACACACACATGCACACAGACACATGCACACCTGGAGACTCACAGACCTCATGGACGCAGTGTGTTACTAAAAGTGATGATATTAGGCAGGAAATAGTACCCAGTGCTCCTTTCTCTCATACAAACCTCAGGTCCTCAGGTGGTGGGGGGCCCACACCTGACATCGCAGAGCAGATGGCACTAATGCAGGTGCCCTGAGTCCAGGTGGAATTGCTCCCCATAACATACCTTTATTACCATTAAAAGATAAATATTAGAGCAAAATGTGTGTATAAATGGAATGTTGTCAGTTGATTGCAACAAGGGACGGCGCCGCGGCCCTCGGCAGGGAGTGGGGGAAGGACGCTGGGAACAGGAGCCGCAGGCACGCTGCGTGCTGGGGAGCGCTCGGCTCAGCGGGCAGAGGTTGTGCCTGGTGGAGTCAGGGTGGACTGTGCGCCCAGGCGGCAGGCTGGGTATGTGGTAGGTTGTTAGGTCCCTGTTGGTGTGTTTGAACTTTACAAGTATAAGTCCTGACCCGGGACCCTGTGGGAATAGAAAGAAGATGGTAGACCCTACAGATATTTTCAAGAAATAAAATAAAATGATTTAACTGGAGGATGTGAAAGTGGTGACTATCACATTTGGGGACTGTATGGCTCAAAGTAAACTCACAGCATTTACCAAACTGGAGAAAGTAGCCACTAATGCAATTAGGGGTGAGAGGAGGTGAGCTGGACACTAAGAGTCATTAAACAGATGTGAAAACACCAGGCCCCCCCGGAGACAGGGCTTGAGATGTAGTCCCAGACGAGCATCAAGAGCCCAGGCAGGAATGCTGTGTCGCCAGTTCCAGGGCGCACCCTCCACACAGACAGCGCACGGTGTGTGGTGCTCGCTGGAGTGGCAGCACTGCCCGCAGCACAGCAGGCTGGTGACATCAGAGCAGAACAGTGAACGCTCCGAGGCTGCGCACTCTCTTTGCTTTGTTCGTCTCCTTGCGTCACACATTCCTTTAAAAGTCCTTTACCCTGGCAGGTCGCACAGTTGGCTGGTGTGTCATCCCATACACCAAAAGGTTCTGGTTCGATCCCTGGTCAGGGCAAATACCGGAGGCAGCCAATCAATGCTTCTCTTTCACATCGATGGCTCTCTCCCTCTCTTCCTCTCTTTCTAAAACCAATTTAAAAACATTCCCAGATGAGGATTAAAAATAAGTAAATAAAATAAAGGGGCTTTTTGTGCCCTCAGCTTTTTCTTCATGCCTCAGCTCTCTCCAGGACTCCCGGCACTATCCGCACAGGTTCTCATTGGGATGCTGCTCCTTCTTATCTGTTTATTTCTTTTACCTCTGAACAAAACAAAGCATTCCCTGTACAGCCCCACTAGCCCCTGTTTCCCACCTATATCAGTTGTGATAGTTTTATTAGAACGGGTTTCCATCGTTCTTAGCACAAATTGCTTATCTCTTGTCTTTGATGTTCCTTTTATTTCCACCTCATAAAATCTTAATGGTACATACTGAGCCATTCTTACATTTCTATGGGAAAAACTAGAGGTCTGGTGCATGAAATTCGTGCATGGGTATGGTCCCTAGGCTTGGACTGCAATCAGGGCCATCTTCCCCAGCTGCTGGCAGCCAGCCCAGCCCCCCCCCCCACCACCCACCCCTAGTTTCCTGTTCACCATTGGGCAATAGGAACCTACTGGCCAGGGGGGAGGGGGGAGGAGGGGAAGTGGGAGGTACCAAGAGGTTGGCCATTCCCACCCACTTGCCAGCTCTGTCTCCCAATGCTGGTCACCCTCTGTGTGGAGCGATCAGCAGGGTGGGGGCCTTGGCCTGGCACCACTGGCATCTGCAGCCACCCAGCCCCAGTTCCCCATTCCCCATCAGGCAATCAGAGCTTGCCCGCTGGGAGAGGGACTGAGAGGTTGGCCAGCAGGCCCTGATTGGGCGATCAGGGCCTCCAGGTTGGGGGAAGCTCCTGCGTTGAGCATTTGCCCCCTGGTGGTCAGTGCATATCATAGCGACCGGTCATTCTGCCGTTCGGTTGATTTGCATATTACCCTTTTATTATATAGGATTAGGTCCACTTTTGTTATCACTCATCTTCCCTGTTGCTCAGCCAACGTCTTAGTTCTAACTCTGCCTTCCTGTGTGATTTATTGCCTGTCTTCTCATGTGATTCACGACCTCCACTCTAATTTCTGTTCTTTTATGTGTCCCTGTGCAGAATTCTGTCTCTGACTTTTATCCCATGCTCTGAACCTTCCTTTTAAAGGGTTCTTGATCCTTGAGATCAGCCGATGGGTTGTTTAACCTTGTCTATCCCACTACTTGGCCTTGGTTCCCTTCACACGGCAGCTGCCCCTCCAACCAGTTCTGCCCCCCAACCCTCAGCTGCTTGTCAACCTCCTGGAAATTCCTCTTGAGCCACAGGAACCACACTAGAGATGTGGAGTGGGGAATCCCTGACTCTACAAGTCAGCAGGGAGCATGGAAGGGGAATTCCTCCATCAGAACTGGAAACTCAAAGTCAGAATAATTTAGAGAAATTTCCAGTGCTCTCACTGACTAGCTCTGTGTCACAGAGCAAAAGACAGAGCCCAGGAGCTCAGGCTGCTCATCTGTAAAATGGAAAACAGAATCTATGCAAACCCAGCCAGAGAGGCCTTTGAGCAGTCAGATGAGCTGAGACCTGAGAAAGCACTTGGGAAGCCGCCGGATAAGAGGCTCTTCCTATTGTTCTTTGCTGTTGCTCTCTTTTCCTCGGCTGCAGTGGTGAGAGGGCTGCTCCTGGAACTCTTGGCTGGAACTTGGAGGCCCGGGCCACGTGGAGGCAGGAGCCCCTCGTCCTTGCACAGTGATAACCATCTAACAGGCTCACACTCCTGCCGCGCCCCAGTCCCTCATGGTGCAGAAGTGATTATGATAGTCTTTGCTTAAATTGGTAAGCGCTCTCACACTGAGTTGCCACTAAAAAAAGTCTAATAATATGACTCTTATGCTTCACAACCTTCTGTTCAGTTGTGCCCGCACTCACTCACTCTCCCTCTGCAGAGGGCAGCCCTGCCTGCTGGGGGCCGGAGCCCAGAGATCAAACACAGCCAGGCGCATGGCCCCTTCAGCTGGGCCTTGCTTCCTGCATGGATGCTTTGCTTCAAGCTTCTTAAATGACACTTCCCTTCCCTGCCTGATTCCTGCACCTTCTTCAGAGCACTGCTTGCACTGGAGGGCACGCCTGCCTCCTATCAGCGGAGTCACGGCCTGGGGCAGTGTCTACCGCTGTCGGAGACGCGCCTGCGTCCTTAGTCCTTACACTGCGCGCCCATGAGAGAGGCTGGGCTAATTCCCGGCGTGTCCAGGACCTGGCCTATGTCTTGGCACAAAGGCTGCTCTGGACAACCCCGGAGGAGTGACCTACACACCGAACACCGCACTATGCCCAGGGGCGCACGGAGGCAATGACGGAGATCTGAGCTCGCAGCGGGTGGGGGGGCGGGGGGCCGCTAGTGGTGCCGACTTGTCCCCCAGGAGGGCGCCCTCGCCCTGGGAGTGGAAGCTGAGCAGCGCCCACCCTGGCAAAGGCAGTGCAGTGTGTGCACTCTGGGCTGAGAAGGGGCGCGGCACTGAGGGGAGGGCGGAGGCCGGGGCACCGGCAGGAAAAGGGTCTGGGAAGGACAGGCAGGTCGCCCTGCAGCGCCAGAGGCCTCGCCAGCAGACCCCAAAGCGAGTGGAAGGCTCCTGGCTGTTCCAGTCCCCAGGCAGCTCAGGCACCGAGGGAAACCACCGTGTTCCAGTCCTCAGCCACTCTGTCATATTGATGGACTTAATGTTTTACATTTAAATTTTATCATTTTATTAAAGTTAAATTTATTTAAAGAGGAAGCTTTATATTAGCCCCATATACAGAAAATCTGCATCAATTTTGAGACATAATAAACACATAGGTTTTTTAAAAAAATTATTTAGTATTAGCTACTTAGAATATGATGCGTTTTCTAGAATACTCTCAGGGGCCTGAGTCATGCTTTGGAAAATAATAAATGAAATACTTCTTAGTGGGCTGACGAGATTGGGCACCTGATCTCCACGCACAACGTGATGGTATTTAAAACGCCTCTTATCTTAAGAAAGAACTTTGCAAAGACAACTTTTGAGCAGAACCTCTTCCTCACTCGGGGGATGACTGTCGTGTCCTCATCTCAGGCTGGCTGTCCCCTTCCGGGTTCACACTTGTGAAGGTCTCTGAAAGGTGCAATTAGTACAAGACAGTCCCTGGAGAAAGAGCTTCACTTGCCTTTCTGTCTCTCGGACTAGAATGGAAGACTGCTCTCTGCGCAGAGGAGCAACCCGCTGCAGTTGGACGTGATCTATGACTACCACCAGGGCACATACGCCTGCGACTACACTCAGGCCGACGGCGCAGGATCCCGGACAGTCAGAGCAGTTGTTCAAGTGAAAACCATTGGTAAGTGACATCTTGGTTTCAAGATTTCATGTTTGAATCCCAACTACCCAGTCATTTTCCTGAGGTTTCGTGATGTTTTCCTTTTTGGAAAACAAAAAAAGATAGACATATAGTGTCGTTGGGAAAGCCTTGAATATCAGCAAACATCAGTTTTCCCATTAACCTAGAGTCATTCTGCAGGGAAGGCGCATATCCAAGTTGTCCCAAGTTGGGTTTTCTATGCATTTATCCCTGGTTTGTTTCTATAATAAATTTTAAAATGATATCAATAATTCACACACAGAAATAGCTGGCACCCACATACCTATTACCAGCTTTAATACTGTGAATATTTTTCCACAGGCTTAAAATCTTGCTTTTTATTTAAAGAAACAAAGCATTACAGATACAGCCTGAGGCCCATGCCATCATCTCTTCCCTTTCTCCTGCCTTCCCAGATGTAGTTTAGTATTATAGTTTACTAGAGGCCTAGTGCACAAAATTTGTGCACTTGTGGGGGAGGGGCCCTCAGCTCAGCCTGCACCCTCTCGCAGTCCAGAAACCCTCGGGGGATGTCCAACTGACAGCTTAGGGAGTGGGCCTGAGCAGTCAGTCGGACAACCTTAGTGTTGCCGCGGATGCGGGAGAGGCTCCTGCCACGGCCACTATGCTCGCCAGCCAAGAGCCCAGCTTCTGGCTGAGTGGCGCTCCCCCTGTGGGAGCGCACTGACCACCAGGGGGCATCTTCTGCATTGAGCACTGCCCCCTAGTGGTAAGTGCATGTCATAGCAATTGGTTGTTCCACCGTTCTGTTGATTTGCATATTAGCCTTTGATTATATAGGATATCCTTTCTATTTATGCCTTTTTTACATATGTATGTGTCCATTAATAAATAGAATAATGTTATATGTTATAGAATGTGATTTGTGTTATTAAGCACATGATATTACTCTAAGGTATTGCTTTGCCAGTTCTTACACCTTCATCATCAGTGAATAGATTCTTATTATTCCTACATTATTCTTGGTGTCTTCAGACTTTATTTTTATTGGTGCCAAGTGGGGTCTCTTTCATTTATATCAATTTACATTTCCCTGAGTCCTAGTGACGTTGAGCATCTGGTTGTGTTTATGGCCCATTGGGCTTATTCTTCTGACAGTTCTCTATGTGTTGGCCCAGTCTTTCCCCTGGATCAGCCCACTGGATTTACAGGTGTCGGCACGAATAAACTAATCATTAATGTAAGCATGGCGATGTCAAAGCATTACCAAGGCAGTCATCCATGTCTTGTATTGAACAGCTACCGGGTAGCTGATTTATCTCTTGGAAACATATTCCTCAGTTTTGCCTCCTCTCCTGTAACTGTGAGCCACAAACCGCACAGGCAGCCTGGCCCTGCACCTGCTGCCTCAGGCCTGAGCAGTTCCACACCGAGAGACTGTTCCTTGCAGAAGGAGACAGAAGCAAATGCCCCGCTGGCACCACTTGCCCCTCCAGGTGGCCCGAGGCTGTCATTCCCACAGGCCTGGCCCCCAGGGGCAGACCGGCTTTCTCTGCCCCAAGGACTCCTTGGATCACCTGTGGCATCTCGTTCATTCAAGCCCAGTCTGTCGTTACTCATGTCTTCCTCGTTTACTCATTCGTTTATTTGTTCATTCTCACACAAATATCTGCTGAAAATCTAGTATGTGTCAGGCACTGGGCTTGGTGCTGTGGATGTGAAAACAGTACCTGCACATTTCCTCCGGCTTCCCAGCACTTAGCATTCTGTGGGGCAGGAGGGAAGGAACAGGCTATGACAATACAATGTGAGGAGTGGGGAAAAGTGGGCACACAGCCTAGACCTGGGTATCCCGAGCCCAAAGCAAGAACTGGGATGGGAACCAATTAGCCAATGGAGGCGGGAAAGATGCCGTTCTGGCAGAGGGAGTGCGCAGGCAGTGTGGGGAGACCGTGCGGCCCAGGAAGAGCCAGGAGCAGTACAGGGCGAGTGCGTGCAAACAAGACTGTCCCAGTGAGCACGGACTTCATCTGAGGAACAGTAGGGAACCATGGAGGGTTCTGGGCATAAGAGGGTCGGGAACAGATTTGTATTGGACATAGGTTACTGTGCACTGTGTAGAAAATGGGCTTGTGGGCAGGAGAATGGAGACGGGAGAAGAATTAGGAGGCTGCCACAGTCAAGCAGGCATGGCTGATGGAGGGGGAACTAGGACGGCTGTAAGGATGGGGAGAAGCAAATGGACTCAATATTTAAGGAGTATATCTGAGAGGAATTAGAAATGGTGAGTGAAGGAGAGAGGAAAGGATGAGAGCTAGGTTCCAAGTTGGACAACTGGGTGAGCTTTGGTAAGGTACTGAGGAGAGCACAGCCTGTAGGG